CCACCCCCCCCCCCCCCAAAAAAAAAAAAAAAGTAGTGATAACAGATTAACAGAAGTACAATAGAAAAAAGAGGACACCCCTGATGATCATCCACATACCTCTGCTGTTTGCGTCCAGTTTCCGTAGCTTGGCCAGCTCGTCCTGAGTGACCGTGATGATGTCACGCCAGTAGTCGGCATTCTTGCCCTCCTCCAGCTCCAAGTACACTTTGATGTCCTCCAGAAGATCCTCCAGATCTTGGATAGTCAGACCCTGAACAAAACCAAAGCGATCAATTGCATAAACATTTATTATTGTTACTATTATAAGATTACACAAGTTAAAATGAGATAAATAACAAATTGCAACCCACGATAAGACCAAAAAAAAGAGAATATCAGATTAGAAAAACTTTACCAATCCCTCATTAGAAGAAATGGTCAGACCCTGAGCATTTCCATGATGATTCATATGGCAAACTGCTATTATTTCAACCAATATAAACAAGACATATGAAACAAGAAAGATCAGGTGAAATTTTTACAAGAAAGGAAAAGATTGATACTCTTTTTATCCTCCATTAGAAAAAATAGATTATATTTGTCTAACTTTTCAATGTCTCTGAAATTCCTTTGAAGAGCTTGTATTTTTTGCTTTACTTTCATGAGAAGAAAATTCAGAAGAAAATACCAGACGCACACCGCCTACAGGACAAACTTTGGGTTGTTGTTTTTTTTTTTTCATTAAGAATAGAATGGGTATGCTTTTTTTCTAATAAAACTGAAAATATGATCAATACAAGGGGCATGAAGTACAAAGTCCATATTTAAAGACGTAACAAGATAAAAGTCACAGGCAAAGCCAAGAACCGACACAAATCAAGTCGAGTGACTATCGTATGGTGAGATTTCATAATGCAACTAATAATATCGAAGGAAGAACTAACTTATGACAGTCCCCCCTGAATACTGAAACTACAAATAAATACCTTTTCTGTCTGAGAAAAGTGTTTTACACTGAGGTCAAACGGCACAATTTGTACGAGCTCTGTGAGAGAAGCACAGGTTTAGTTTTGATACTTTCCTAGTGTTTTGAGCGTCCACTTATATATCAAGGGGCAATGTTACCGTAACTAAATTAGTCGGTATCTTACCCCATTAGGAAGTGGACAGCCTTGGTTCAAACCCCAAAGGAACATTTTTGAGGGGAGTTTCATGACTCTACCAACTCGATGTAGTATTTTCAGAGAGAGATGTTAAATTTAGATGTCTCATCTCTTGAAATAATTTAACAGAGTAGAAAGGGGAGTTAAAAACACAATAACAAAATGCTCACATATAAGTATGTGTACGGCTCATGCATTTCTACAGCAAGTTCATCATCCTCTGCACTGATGTACTTGGCCAACAAGTCTATAGGCTTGGCTGAAAAGGAAAAAGAGAGAAAACAGATCAAAAGCAAAGCCAAAATTTCCATCAGCACTCAAAATGTAACACTAAATGAAACTTGGGACACAGATACGGGCTTCACTGACATATTGAGACAGTTTTCAGACACAAAGCCAATAATTCAACAAAAATCAGTATTTGCATAAGCACTCGAAATGTAATACTGAACGAAACTCAGGACGCAGATAAGGACTTCACTGACATATCAAAACAGCCTTGGAGCTCAAGACTACATCATTACAGTAGATCACCAATCATAATGTTAACTCTAAAGCTTTTGTTGAGCCCTAGTTCCTTGAATCTTACAGGACCTGTGAATAAGAAGAACCCTACGGTCTACTGCTAGATTGCACTGGCATTTGGAGTGCAGAAGAGTAAATGTAGGAAACACTAGGATCCATAGGGTTAAGAACATTCGTCCTGGGCATTGAGATAACACTTTCAACAAGCTCGTAACACGAACTCGGCCCTCTACATGCCTTATGTTTACCTACATCAATTGGACAGCAGAAAGTAGTGACTCATATTCCCGACCGGCAAGGTGTTGACATAATACCACCTATTCTGTTTGTATAGCATAAATGTTTTAAAACTTTAGCTCTTGAATGGTGTGGGCATTTTTCTGAACGGTTATCCTGATGCTTTTGACATATAAATACTTTTTCTAAAATGCTTGGTTACAAACTGACAGAATGAAGCATAATAATCTCTAACGTTCACAAATATTTTGATATGCATGAAGACAAATAGCACTCAATCAAAAAAATGAGAGAAATCACTCTGAGAGCATATACTCACCTCTGCCATCCTTTATTCGAATCTCTGACCTCAGTTTTGCTTGGTTCAAATGAAACTGGAAAGTAGAAATTAAGTATGTTATATTTCCATCAATTGACAGCAATCATTGATTGAGTACAAATCCAACAAACCCATCTTAATTCCTGACATCTGAAACCTTCACACATCCTACCCTTCAAGGTGGAAACTTCTCAATATATAACATTCTGGCCTCAGAATTCCCGGAGAAAGCTAGATCTGTAAGTAAAAATGACAAATGTAATAATGAACAGGTACATACGAGAACAAAAGCACATTGTCGGTCAACTGTTCAATTGTACTTGCCCTAAATTTTTTTTCTCATTTGTTGTATTATAGCAGTTTCTTAATCTGTGATATTGGTAGCATGTGAGAGAGGAATATTTTCTTGAAACTCAAATTCTAAACATTAAAAACAAGCCAGAGAGTTGTTTCTCTCTCCAGAAAAATGTTGCTTTCTGAGCATTTGAACAGCTTGCCCACTATTGTGCCCCCTTGACGGACAATAGACAGAATAGGGTTGTCTGAGACACAAAACTCACAGGCAATCAAAACATGTGAATCTACCCAGCCCAAGAACACCATCATAAGATAAATACACCTAAGGTAGAAGTAATGCTCTATGTTATTGCTGGGTGTAGAAGAAAAAGTGATAAACACCTTTTAACTAGTGAGGAAAAGACACTCCACCCCTCATCAAGCCTACTGATAAGTAAATCATATTTGCTCTTCAAAGAAGCATTTTCAAGGTGGGAACTGATTTCCTGTCCGCTTATCAGCTCAGTAACACCCAAATCATAAACAATAAAATCTAAAATAATCTAAAAATACATTTGTTACACTATACTGAGTACATACACCATCCTCTTGTTTCTCCCATTCTTTGAAGTAATCAGCCTCTTTCTCTCTCTGCAACATTTCCTGGTGAAAGACAATTTTTAAAAGCGTTCATGTAAAGAAGTGTACCAGACATTCTCAACCTGCTCAAACAGGCACTTTCTAATTGGTATATTATCTCTATATGGCAAAAGCGTTGCACATGACTGAGAAGTCTTAGAAATTCATCTAAACTGATCCTGTACATAGGTACACCGTATCATCTTGTTCTTATCCATGCAATCTTCTCCACCTATTACATGAAACATTAAGTCAGTAGTAATGTGATGTGAATGCATAGCCACCACATGGAGGAAATGGTAAATTTCTGAAGATATCAGTATCAGTAATAACATTAAAAATCTTCACCACATCTCTTATGGCCTGTATCAAAGACTAAAACACTATTTTCTGCTTTTGAATTTCTGTGAGTGCATCAGGGGTCTTGACAAACCATTTTCTTTGTTCTGATTTGGTTGATAGAGTAGCCATCTCAGCAGTCAAACTGTACCTCACACTAATAATTCTAAGGAACACACAGACGAACACAATTATTTCATTGACATTACAAATCTAAAATAAAGAGCATTCTTTAAAAAGAAAGTGTCATTCTTCAAGTCAAATCATTTTGTTTTAGTACTAAGCAGGAAATACCTACCCTCTCTTTTTCTCTTTCTTCCCATTCCTTCTCTCGTTCCAATCGTCTCTTTTTCACTTTCTCAAGTTCAGCCTGCAAGATTTCCAGAAAATCAAGGTAAGAAATAATGAAATATCAGTCTATAACCCAATCATTAGTGCAAACCACATCTATTTCAATGCATTAATCAACAATCAGGTAAAAAGGGCAAAAATTAAATCAATCACGCCAAATATGCAAATTCAAACTCAAAACATGTAAGTACCAAATTATTTTGCACACATTTAAAAATAGCAAATATTTTAAACTAATAGTACTTCTTCTTCTTGTTCATCTTTAAATGAACCTCTCAGTCTCAAGTGTGAAAGCTGCAGTACACCAGAGGTCCTCCAGCCCCCCAAAGTTTTGGTTATCTCTGCCTAGGGTCAAGCCAATATTTCTTTCTTAGTGCCTCATGCAGTGGGCAAGCTTGTAGCAGACAGTTCCCTGTTTGGTTGCCGGTTCCAACATTCTTTAGTAAATCCATATGCTTTAAATGATCACTTATCATAATTTTTGCAGATTGAAAAGAACATGTATTTTAAGACAATGACTGTTTTAAGCTTAGTGATTGCAATACTTTTTCTCAGAAAGTACAGTTAGCAGTCATAGCCACAGGACGCCTGTCACAAAGGTGTGAGGAAACAGGTAAAGACATACCTTATTTTGAACCATCTTGGACCTGTGCATCGTCTGAATCTGCTCAGCTGACATATCCTTCTTTCCCTCCTTCTCCAGCTTCTTAGTCCACACAAAGGTATCCAGGAGATGCTCATCTCCAAAAGGGTTGTCAACATTTGTGTAGCCCTGAAGAGATAGGAATTGTAAATAGAAATCATAGCTCTTTCAACAAGAGGGAAAGGTGCTTACATCTTCAGAAAAAATGTCTGTTTTGAGGCTGAGTTCATGATTTTGGATTTTTAAAACATTTCTCTGCGGGAGGGGGTTGGGGGAGGTCACATCCGTATATTCCTAGGTGGGTGGGACACAGTATCGTATCTTGGATATGAGCTAAAAGTATGGACAGCCCATGTGCAAGCGGTGCATGATAAAGAAACCATGATAGTGTAAAACCCTTGAAGAGCTTTCCAGCCTAAGGACATTCCAAGAGCATTTTAATATTAAAATATATTTCAAAATCTGTGATAATGAGTTGAATATCCTGAAGTTGACTCCTCTTGAAACCTGGCAGAGAAATGAAAAAGAGCAGGAAGATACAGAGGAGGCAAAAGAGGAGGAAGGTGGAGGAGATGAAAAGGAAAATATAAAAATCAATATTTATTCAGTCTGGTAAATAAAACTCTTTGTAGACTGTAAGGACAACAGCACCCATGTCACAAAAAGTGTGTTTACTTAGTTAGACATCACATTCTCATGACCACCAAATATCTAACATATTTAAGCACTTTTAGGTAAACACAACTAATGACAAAGAATGCTTCCTCAGAAAAACAAAATCAAATAAGCAAATAATTCCCATGCTTGGAAAAAAAAACCCACCAACATTCTGGGAAATGATCCCCCCCCCCACCATTCCCCATAAAAAACACAATCGTTGTGGGAAAAAAAATACACTATTCAAAAGGCTTGGATAAGCCTCAGCAAATACAAGTTCCCACGACGCCACTGCTTATGTCTGATTCACCCTAACAGAAAGCAGCAAAAATTTGTTGAGTCACTTTTCTATGTTTTTTTAAAATCTTTTTTTTTTTACATTTAACATTTCTTTAACCATCTTACTACATTGTTGTATAACATGAGTGATAATAGACAAAAATACCTCTGTAGCATGCTAGCCTTTCGGTCAAAACACCCCTGTGATTCATATCATTAAAAGTCTCTGGTTCTTTCTACTACAAGTCCCACTGATACAAAAAATTATAAAGGCAAGCAAAAAGAATATATTATAATTCCTTTTAGCACAAGCTAATTATAAGTAAAAAAACCTGTACTTACCAGGTAATCTTTATCCCAGCCCATTTCTTCTTTCCTTTTTCGCTCTTTGGCTTCCTGAAAATAAATGAGACAACAGTATAATGTAAATTTATAGAGAGTTTGCCATTGTTAGGCTGACCTGTATTATTTTCAAGAATACACAAACAAAGTCAAAACCATATTGTGTTGGTGAACAAATTTGACTGCTTGTGAAGCAAATTTCTTTGGCGGTAAAACCAAAAGAAGTATGAGAATTTATAAAATACTAAAATACTATTGCAGAAAGAAACTCTGAGGCCCACCTTTTTCGCAAGACGCCTTGCTCTTTTCTCCTCTGGAGTTTCCAGGGCCTTTAGAACCTCTTTTTGCCGCCTGCAAGAGAAGTAAGGTGTAAAAAGCAATTCATGTGACTAGCACTAGCACCAATTAAAATACATAAACAAAATACAAATACACGAAAGCACAGATTAGATTTTCTCTTCATGGATCAACCAGAAAACATTTTAAAAGCTGGACACTTATTAAAAGAAAAAAATCTTAACCCCCCAGATATACACATATATATAGAAAAACGGACAAAGCAGAAACTACTTAATGATTATATTCACTGACACCGAAGAACAGGAAGAGAGCAAGACTATATTCAGGGCAAAAGGAGGGTTCTAATCAAAGTATGAGGAAATCAATTTTGGTTGAAAAATACTCACTGTTTTTCTTCGGCTGTAAGAACTTTCCTCGATTCTCCACTCTCTCCATGTGAACTTCGTCTCCTAGATCTCGAGGAGGACCTTGACCTTGACCTATGTTTACTCTGTTTCTTGTGCCTGACTGGAGACCTGGAGCGTGACTGAGACCTTGAGTCTGAATCTGAAGCATTGGACTCTGAACTATCATCAGAATCATGCCTTGATCTGTGCCTGTAATATTTCAAAAACACAATTCAATTTCAAGAAATTGTAATGAAGTATCGTGTAATTCAAATATGATAAAAGTCTTTTAATACATCTGCAAATGATGACAGCATAATCAAATTCAACACATATATGACTCTTGGCCACACAAGAGTCAAGACGAACAGCTTTCAGATACTTCAAAATACCATTAATAACAATCAAAATTACCTCTTTTACCTGTGTACTTTAAAAAATGTTGACCTCACATGACTCAAGATGAACAACTAGATTAGTTAGAATTATAACTGAAATTTCTAGACATCTAATCTTTTAGTCTACTTACTACCTTCAAAGACAGTTGTCTAAATATGATGTTAGAAATTTCAGTATTGTAGCTGTCTGTTTCTGTGCCTATCCATTTGTTGATGGTCTAGGCCTACGATTTCTGTTCTACTTGATTGTTGACCACTGGACCAGTCTGACAACGGTTACCCTTGACAGCCTGCTGTAAGTTTGTGCCTTCTACAATTAACAATATATATAAACATCTTCCCATTCGTTTAGGCCTAATTTTATAAAATTAGGTTAGATTAGGCTTAGAACTGTTTAAGTTTACTAAGTCATTTACTAAGATGGACTGTCTTTGCCAGTCTTCGGCTTTTTCAAAACTGTTTCGTAACTTGTTTTTTCGCCCCCCCCCCCAATAGTGATAGTAAAAAAATGTATAAAAAAGGGAAGACTTTCGTAACGAGCAACCACTATGAGACAGAGTACAATAGAGGAGTAGGGGTTTGGGTAGGGTCAGGGTTAGGTTTCCGTTTAGGTTTCGGGTAGGGTTAGGGTCAGGTCTCTTCCTTCGCAGAAGAATTCCGTGAAGGGATTTTATTTTTTTTGTCTATATCATGAAGGATTTTTTAAGTGTTTGCCTTAGGGGTGACTTCTCGCAGTAGGCTACCTTTTGAAGGCATCATACGAAATATATATATAATAGTCAGGAACGTTGCCCCAACTACAACTAAACTGTCTGACTATTCAGACATTTAAGATCTAGATCTAGCTATAGAAAATGAATTCCATCCAAAAAATGTTTCTTCCCAGTTCTCGCAGAATGGCAGAATGAAAGATGACACCTAGATTCTAGATATCTAAATCTCGCAAATAAAACCAAAAAATCTCGAGAACGGAAACGGTTTGGAGAAATAGAGATCAAGTTTATTTTCCCGAGCGTTCCGAGAAACAGTCAGGTCATAACATAAAAGTTACGCTGTGTCTATGTACACGGTAACCATAGATCTAGTCTCAGTACGTACACACGGTAACCGGGCACCTAGTCTCACTATCTACGTAAACGGTAACTTAAACCTGGCACCAAGTGACCAAGTCTCAGTATATCTACATACATACACGGTAACCGGAATGAAAATAAATCAATATTTGTCCTGTGCTGTCACTTGCTGAAAAAAAAGAAAGTCATTCTAAGCGTCTTGTCGGGCTTGCCATCATGACCAGTCAGAGAGAACCTCGTGCGCATCACATTGTGAGTACCGGTTGGGTTCACCAAAGTCCACTCAAAGTCTGTGCGCTGCGAAGTATAGGGCTCCGGATGATTTTATTTTAAAGGTACATTCGGGGGAGGGGTGAGGATGGCTACACCGGATGACAAAAACTGAACTGCCTGGTTACCGAGTACGTGACACTTGACTGAGACTACGTGCCCGGTTGTACATGAGATATTGAGGCTACATGCACGGTTACCGTGTACATGACACTGAGACTAGGCCTACGTGCCCGGTTGGCGGTTACTGTGTACGTAGACACTGAGGCTAAGTGCCCGGTTACCGTGTACGTAGACACTCTGTAAAAATTAAGAGTGGACCATTGCACAGCGAGGCTCCGAGGCTCAAAAGTAGTTCCGGCTTCGTTCAGTGTTGGGTCCATCAAAGTTCAATCTTACCACCTTACAGTTACAATTTACATGGTAGACTGGGTAATTCTGGACATGATTATCATAGTGAGTATGATAGAAATTTTACTTGAAATTGAAGTTGAAGAGAAAGAAACATACTTCGTCTTGTGTCGGTGTTTGCTGTCGCGGTCCCGCCGTCTGCGTTTCTCCTTTGATGATTTTCCCATGTTGGAACCAAATGTTGACTGATTTAAGTATCGATATGTGTTCTCTATTTGTTAAATATTTCAAAACCGAGAACTAAAATCTAGATCTAGAGAGGATTCAAAAACGCGAATTCAAAACACAAGCACGATGATTGAACTTTGTTTATCCCAGTCAAAGCAAAATTGTCGCACTATCAACGAACGATTACGCTCACAGAGTGATCTCCCTTGAGCCTTGATGGCCGCTGTTCCGTATTCAGCGCAAAAGAACAAAGACCTAAGTAAATGTATAATAGGCCTATCAGTAGGCCTCTCAGGAGAAGGCCTAGGCCTATCATAATAATCGTTATTGCTTGGCCCTACGTATTCGGCTGATAAAAAGTTATTGTTACATGATGTATTTTGAAAGTCGACAAAATGCTGCTGTCCTCCGAACCCTGTTGCACAGTGCTGAGACTTGGACTGTGTGCCAAAACCTTGGAGTCACTATTGCCAAAACCATGCCAAGAAACGTATATATATATATATATATATATATATATATATTATATATATACCGGTACCTAATCATTTCTAAATCTCTTTTTATTACATGGGACAGCCCCATAGCCATTTAAGGACCTGAAAAATTATAACAAACTATAGACTATGTATGTATATAATGGGAGAACCCTGAGAGCGTGGGCAGTAGGTTATGATGATGAAAGTATTTTGGAAAGTTGTTCAAAAAGCATTTTCTGAAACTGGGGTAGTGCCGAAACAGCACTCTCATCTCGTTGATTAGACGCTAGCATTAGCATCAGCAAATGTCATTGAAAGAGACGATTATGAGGCTGAAACAAAAGAATGAATTGAGTGTAGGACCTGATCTAAAATCTCTGTCTGTCTGTCTGTCTATCTGTCTGTCTGTCTGTCTGTCTGTCTGTCTGTCTGTCTGTCTGTCTGTCTGTCTGTCCGTCTGTCTGTCTGCCTGTCTGCCTGCCTGTCTGTCTGTAAATATAAACACAAGCACAGTTTTGGTGTAGAACAAGCCGTGAACCTAGTCTGCAGGCTAGGTTCGCGGCGCCGTGAATGTAGTTGGCAGTAGGCTACGTTCACGGCGTCCTGAATGCAGTTTGCAGGCGCTGTTGAGGCTACGATCACGGCATTCAAGCTTCGTTTAGACGGAGCGTCCACTGCCGGTTTTAGTCAGTGACTACAGTGACGTATTTTTAATATTTTGGCCAGCTTCAAATGTTCCATCCCATGAGATGAAGGAAAACGAAAAAGCCTGGGAACCGACGCAGAGAGAAAATGACGGGAATAATTCTTATCATAATAGCCAACTCTCTCTCTCTCTCTCTCTCTCTCTCTCTCTCTCTCTCTCTCTCTCTCTCTCTCTCTCTCTCTCTCTCTTTCCTTCTCTCTTTCTCCCCCCTCCCCCCTCTATTTTCTCTGTCTCTGTCTGGCTGTCTCCCCCCCCCCCTTCTCTCTCCCTCTCTCTTTTTCTCTCTCCCCCCTCTCTTCCTCTCTCTTCCCCCCCCCCAACCTTCTCTCTCCCCTTCTCTCTCCCCCCCAACCTTCTCTCTCTCTGCCTCTCTCTCTCTCTCTCTCTCTCTCTCTCTCTCGCTCTTTGTGTGTGTGTGTGTGTGTGTGTGTGTGTGTGTGTGTGTGTGTGTGTGTGTGTGTGCGTGCGCGCGTGCGTGCGTGCGTGTAGTATGTCTTTGGCCCAGAACGAGATATTCATTCTTTCATTCAAACTATTTGCAAGCGTATGTCATATCATGTATGCATTTTTATACAGTAAAGGGATAAGGAAAGTTGGTAGCACGTTTTTTTGTTTTTTGTTTAATTTGTTGCAACTACGAGACAAGAACTGAAAACGAAAGCTCTCAATACTATTGCCAGGTCTCCTTATCTGAGAAACTCATTATTGGACAATGTTCCCTTTACTCAACTTTACTGTCTTATTTTGTTCTACACCAAAACTGTGCTTGTGTTTATATTTACAGACAGACAGACAGACAGACAGACAGACAGACAGACAGACAGACAGACAGACAGAGATTTTAGATCAGTTCCTACACTCAATTCATTCTTTTGTTTCAGCCTCATAATCGTCTCTTTCTATGACATTTGCTGATGCTGATGCTGGCGTCTAATCAACGAGATGAGAGTGCTGTTTCGGCACTACCCCAGTTTCAGAAAATTCTTTTTGAACACCTTTCCCAAATACTTTGATGCCCTAGCCTCAATTTCTCAAGATTACCACAGCCTACTGCAATGGCATCGACATTCTTCAGCACATCACTCGACAGTTCGAACATTGATAGGCACTAGTGGTGTAGGTATAGTGATGGAACATATTGTGAGAGGGATAATAGTGAAGAGGAAACTTTAGATGAGGATGAACTTGCTCCTCACCCCATTGCCAAAAAGAAAATTTCACCAATGAAGAAAGATAAAGAAGTAGGTGACAATAACGGATATGCGCTTTTTTATTCTGCCTTTGAGAACCCAGCATCAAATAAAGTGCCAGCAAAATTTACAAGGAAGTGCAAAAGCTATGGAGGCTGAAACAACATTCACAAAATCAGCGGACCACTGAGGTTTAGTATACAGCAGGATGCTGTGTGACGGAGATGCCAAATCTCATCAGTTGCTCATTTTTTATGGCATTTATGACTTTGAAATTGTAAAAGATGACTACACACATCGCATTAGCAAAAGTATGTTCAATGCCCTTCAGAGCTTCCAAAACACCAACAACGAAGAGCTGAATCGAAAACTAATAAAGATTGAAAAACAGAGCAGTTACAAATGCCTCACAAAACCTGGACGTAACAGTTATTTGTGTTCATTAGTTTTAATTTTGTTTTTGTTCAGGAGCTGTTGGTTTCTTACCGAGCTCGAAACCTCTTTAGCACACAGACCCTGTCAGATTTTGAACATCTGTCAATGAGGAACAAAGGCCACGAAACTGCCATGGTTTTGGGTGGCCTGGGGTGGAATGAACAAAGCCGCTCTCGTGAGAATCGCCGGATGCCTTGGTTTAGTGGACTACATCGCGCAAGTGCTGGAACGTCATGTCTTACCCTTATTTTCGTCAAGGTGTTATTCAAGTAGTCATCCCCATGCGAAACACGGCATTTTCTCCTAGGACCAATGCCATTACAGAATTCTTAAAAAACCAAACCAGGTCAACGTTCGAATAGTTAGCAGCAAACAGCCCCGATATGAATCCTACAGGTATGTGAAGTCCCATGAAACAGAGGCTGAAGAAAAACGACTTTGCCTCCAATTCAGACCCTTTGTTTGCAACTCTTTGTGACATTTGAAATGAAATGACTGATAAATATGTCGAAAACTAAATAGAATTGATGCTCAAAGGTTTCGTGCACAACACAAAGCCAATGGTTCCTAAGCAAAATAACAATGAACACAATTAGTGTTGAGTCGAAGTTTTGTGTGGTATCTGTGATTGCTCTATTTTCTGTTATGTTTGAAACTATCGTGACAAAATATCGTAATAAAATATTGTTTATTGCAAAGACACAATTCTCCATTCATTAGGCATTCAATATATCGCCATTCGATCAATATTGATACTCTTTAATAAATGCGCAAAGACAATTTTACGTTTCTTTGATTTCGCACAATTTTGACAAGCCTTACTTTTTAAAGGTCAATTTTGAGTGACAATATCTCGGGTGTCTCTTAATTAAAATAGATTAAATATTAATGTGTCAGATGATGAAAAATTTATTTAGCTTTAAATTGGTATGCTGCATGAGTGGATAATGCAAGGCTTTAACACGATGACTGGGTGATTACATTTTCAAGTTTCTTCTGGACGCCACTGTATAACGGACTACGTTTACAGTAAGTTTTGCACGTCCAAACTTTTAGTAGTTTTCTCTCAAAATGGGCTCTTTCAGGGGGGGGGGGGGGGGGGGGGGGGACAAAAAAATCTGTCATGCGAAAAGTTGTTAAGATATCGTCATAATTTTCGGTATACTGATATATGAAACATTATTCTAGTGTAATAAGTAGTGACGTCAAAAAAAAATCTTGAATGAATGATTTTATTATAAATTTAATCCGTTGTTTGGATCTGAGATTTTTGTGGTCAAAATATTCCCATATTTAGGACCTCGATTCTGGAAAAGATGTTCCTCCTACATCAAAAATGCCAAGTTCATCCTCTAAAACAGCCACGGAAGGCTGCAAAACTACTTATTATAACATTTAAAATCATTTATGACCTTATGATAGATTTTTTAGAAATGTGTGCATTTTCTATATATATGACATTCCAATATGGCAGGCGTTACCATAGCAACACAAAAGAATTTTCAAAATTTTACTTCATGACTTAATTCTCCACTATTTTTATATTGATGCTACCCAATGATGCTACAACATTTGTAAGCTTAGTTTCTTCTTCTTAACGAATTTCAAAATTTCCCCCGCATCATGCCTTAAACCGGCAGTGGACGCTCCGTCTAAACGAAGCTTGAGTGCCGTGAACGTAGCCTCAACAGCGCCTGCAAACTGCATTCAGGGCGCTGTGAACGTAGCCTGCCAACTATATACATTCACGGCACCGTGAACGTAGCCACTGCGTTTTTTGTTTCCTTAATGGGCCTGACGGGCACGCGAAGCAGCTGAGGATGTGATCAAAGAGGTTGGTGCGGATGTGACAATTTTCACCGATAGATCGGCAGTCGCAGGATACCGCGAAGGTGGAGCAGCAGCAGTAGTGATAATAAATGAAGAACCACCACGAACAGAATTTATTAAAACTAAAGGTGCATTCCTTACATCATCTTATGGCGAGAAATGCCAGGCAATGATGTCTGCTGCACAATGGATTGCCGACAATTGCCACAGTAGGACCAATGTGCCGATCTTGACTGACAGTCAGTCCCTCTGCAAAGGGCTGCTGGGCAACAGCTTGGACATGAATGATTTGCGCCGCAAGTTCAGCGAAGCCAGAGCCACAATAAAAATTCAGTGGATTCCAAACCATGTTGGAATAGAAGGAAATGAGGCAGCAGACCAAGCTGCTAATGAAGCCAGAGAGATCGAAGGAGACAGACGACCAACGACATACAGAGGAGTCTTTCCAATAATCAAGAGAGAAATCAGAGACCCACCATGTAGAACTAAGTACCACCACCTGGAAGATGTGTATTTTGGGTACTCCTATAAGCGAGAACAAAAATCTACCACATGTCGCT